AGTTCCCGCAGGTTATCAGTTGTTCGGGATGCTGAATCGCAACTGGGGTGAGTTTGGTGGGCCTTCTTGTTGGATCTGGATCTGTTTTGAGCAGACAGTCTTTCGAGATGCTGAATCGCAACTACGGCCAGCTTGGCAGTTCTTCTTGTTGGATCTACCTCTCTTTTGCGCACAGTTTCGCGATCTGCAGAGACGGACTCAATGACTAGTGCCATCAAAACCTGAGGTTATCTGTGAGACCCGGAGTTTTTCCTTGAGGACCTTGGTCGGACCCAACTTGCATCTGACCTCATACGAGATCTAGTATTTTTTTCCTTCTCTCTTTCTCGCAGCCTCCTAAAGTCCGGATCCCGGCGAACTTCCTGTGCCGACTATTTATTGAACAGACAGTGGTCTTCCTGATCCCCTGTGAACTGCAACAACAGCCCGAGTCCGCCCTAATCCAGACGTCTTGTTCTGCCCCACCAGTTACCCATATAATGTTGTCCCGGCTGTTGCGTTCGGACTTTGCTTCATCCAGTGCCAAACTGCGCATATCGCCAAATCGTACATCAGAAGAAGTTCGGAATCAGATGGACTTCTCCTTCTCAACCAGACTTTCATCTCAGTGTCGCCTTCCCGGTTCCTGGTTGAGTTTAACAACCACAGACTTACGGATCGTGTGTCTCTGACGCCGTCTCTGCCTGTCGCATCGTCCTGAAGTTCGGATCACGGCGAACTTCACGTTTCGGGATGTGTGTCGGTTTGTCTTTGGTCTTCGTGGTGCCCGGTGGATCGCACGAACCACCCGGCAACAGGGAGAGTCCGACTCCGACCTGTCGTCTTGCTCATATGCAGTTACGGAGTGTGTTTGCTCGTGCACGATTCTGGAACGCTGGCTGCATGGGCTGGCTCTCTCTCTCTCTCTCGCACCCTCTTTTAGTACGGATCCCGGCGAACTTCGGGTGCTGGCCTGTCCGATTTTCGAGTGCTAAGCGGAGGAGACTACCCCGTCCAGCGTGAGCTTCGAACATTACCGCCCGCTGATTCCCGCGGGAAATGCCCATATTCAAATCCCTCCTGCATCCGTGCTTCGGAAATTCCAATGTGGTTGTCGCCCGGCCGCATGACGTGCGTCCCCTTTTAAAGATTATTCGCGTTGCAGGTTGGAGGTTATTAAAAGTCTTCGCGTTTGAAGTTCGCTGGGATCCAAACTTCGAGGTCTTCGAACGGCGTGATGTGACAGACGTGTTGAGCGAAATGTTTGCCACCTGAGTTCTTGATGCTTCGTTGCCGCCTGCGTTGTGGTTTGACTGCTACTTGACGCTCTCTGGTGGTTTGCTTCTTTTCCGTTGTCGTCCACAGACACGATGTCTTCGTCGAGGGCCGAGGGGGAGCCTGCCGCGACCTCCGGGATGGGATCAGGGAAAGATTCCACAAAACGTTCGTCTACGGCCTCGAAATCGTGGTCGGACCATGCAAGGTCGAAATGGTTCGTCGACTGGTGTTGTGGGGATGCTTCAAACCCGCTTGAACAACAGTGTGGTCCTGTAATCTTCGTCGAAGCCAACAAGCGTCGTAGGGTTCTGGGGGTTGTCTTGCGGTGGGAGGATGCGAAAGGCAGTCGTCGACGGTTCATTATGAAAAATGTTTACGGTGCGAGGGGGAACGTCATCGCCAATGCCAAGGGGGCGCTTCTCGACATGGATTTATTCGAGGGGTTCGGAGCGGGTGCTGCAAACACCCCATTCTACAACGACCTCCGGCGGCAGGGCGGGTTCGTTTTGGGTCGTGAGTTCTTTAACTTGTTGGAGGCGAAGGAGGTCGACCTTCACGTCCCTTGCGAAGTCGGTCCCAACTAGGAGCTGTCAATGCCCTTGCAGCTGTGCGGCGGTTGTGAGTCCAGCAGGGCTGCGGGGGAGGGGGGGGATCTAGGTTCCGGTGAAGCTAGACAGCTGCAGCGGGAGGAGAGCGGAGGTCAATTTGACGATAGCGAAGATGAGGCGCCAACGCGTCTGTCGTTTTCGTCGTTGAGTAGAAGAGACCGGTCCGTGCTGTCCATACCTGGAGTCCGGCAAGAGACCCCGGTTCGACAAGAGGTTGCAGCAGAACCCGGAAAAAGAGGCAGTCCAGTGTGGGCTCGACTTGGAGCCTGGCGAGGGCCATGGCATGGACGACGAGGCTGTGGGCGGGGAGGGAACGCAGGGCACTCCCCAAAAAAGGAGGGGAGATCGTCAAGAGGACTTGGTCGGCTCTTCGAAGAAACAGAAGATCAAGACCCCGAACACTACGGGGGAGAAAAGGAAGGGAAGGGGGGTGGAAGAGGACCGCCCGGGCAGCAAACGTCCGGCTTCGAAACAGAAGCAGCCTGCGTCGGGACCTTCCACGCCACGGCCTGCCATCGACGTGGACACCGGGTACTTCCTGGAGTACAAAGACGGCGTCAGGACAAGGCGGGAGTATGAGATTAGCCCGGCTCAGGTCGTCGACCTCGGGGAATGGGAGGATCTGTACAACCAGCGGTCCCTGGATCCCGTCCTGGTTTGAGGGGATCAAAGAAGCGATGCGGTCGGCGTTTGAAAATAAAGAACAGACGTACGAGTTGCCGACCCTCAAGCTCGCACCATTGGGGCTTCAAAAACCAACTCCCGGGACCAGGGGACAACGTTTGAAGCCGAAGGAGTGGAAGGATGAGCTGGCGGGAGAATACTACTACTACGCGGTGTGTGGGCAGCATAACGTGGCTGCAGCCCGATCGCTACTCGGCAGCGAGGTGGCCAAGAGATACAATTTCGAGCGATGGCCGGCAAGAATGGTGTATTTTTCGGACGATGACTTCAAAGGGTATTTTCTTGTTAGTTCACAGGACAACAAGAAGGACCTCAAGGCGCCTCCCAGACAGTTGAAACTGTCTATGAAAGACATTCGGTGTCAGTGGAAGCACGACGGCTGCCCGAGGGCTGTGATGGGGAACCCTAGCGGGAAACAAGATCAGGTCCGGGATTGGCGTAAGTTCTGTACAACGGCGCTCCATAAGGCGCCGCACAACAGATTTGTGGATTCGCGCGGATCAAAAGGAAGAGGATGCCATTAAGAAGCAAAATGTTGCCCTGCGTTCTTATTTCCCTCTCGCGATGGCCGGAGAAAATATCTGGAAACTGGCCGTGGAATTTGTCGAAAAGTGGGAGACGGGTAGATTGCTGAGCCACGACGGAGCAAAGTGGAATCATAAAGAAGAAGAAGGTAAAAAACGTCAAGCCTGGGGTCGCCTACGTCGACAATGACAAGTTCGGCAGAAAGGAGGTGGTGTACAATGTCCGTGGAGCCGCTACTAAGAAAGGCAAAAAGGAGAAAGAGGAGGGTGATTGGTTCGTGCAAGTGCCGGACCCGGACGCGCATTGCTGGAAAGCGATGAAATCATTCACGGATAATGAGAAGTGTCGCGTTCTGAAGAAGGTGCTTGCTTGTGAGGTCATTTGGGTCCAGGCCGGCTCCCCGTCGTTGGCGAAGTTGGGCAAGCTCAGCGTGCAGGACATGGTGCAGTTGGTGAAGTGCGACCTCGTGCTGGTCCGGTTGTGGAATTACTACCAATTCAAACACGAGAAGCGGTTGGACGCAGATTGGATCCAAAAGTACCCTTTCCTGAAATCGAGGTCCGTCGTGTTCAAGAAGTTTGAAGGTCAGGGATTGGATGACGATTTGTGGGATAATAGCAGGAAACACGTTTCCGACTCGGCGCTGTTCAAGGACTGCCCGCCGTACATGGGTTGCGACCAGGACAACTCGATTGAGGTGACGGAGAAGTTGGCGGGCCACAAGAAGTTTTCCGTCGACTGGAGAAACAAGGTTCTCTCCGTGTTGAATGGGAGAAGACTGAAGAGCAGGGAAATCGCACTTGTCGAAGGCATTGTTCACATCAAATGGAAAGACACGGGGGACGTGACATCCATCGCGCCGTTCGGTAACGACCCTTTGGAGGCGGAAGTCAGGGGCGCAGAGCTAAAGGAAGCAGTGGCAGCTACAAAGAGCCACACGTGTGTCCTCGATCTGTGCGAGCCGGTTGACCTCAAATTGTGGAAACACCAAGCGTGGGAGACTTTGAATTCCTATCTTCAGACGTGGTGTCCGTCGCATTGGACTCTCGTTGTTTTCGTGTCGCGGCAGCACAACCTCTCGTTTCTCGCCAGCATGCAGCATCTTTCTTTTGTTAAGCTGTTGGAAGGGAAGTGGGTGCGGAGAAGTCGGCAAAAGAAAAGTTTCCCCTTTGGGAACAATTTGTACACGGAGGACGACCGCATATACATCCTCTTCAAGGGTCACGATCTGCGCGTCAACACGTCTGTGGTCTACGAGGGAAAGCTTCCCAAGGGTGTCGCTGCTGCAGTGCGGTTGCCTCAGAGGGTCACCCAGACGGATGTGTCCGAGATTCCCTTCATTCCGTGCGACTGGTCGCTGCTCGCGCCGGAACGACAGGGCAGTGTCTACGGGGATATGGAACGTAATCTGACACAATTCGTCGGACTTCTGGATTTCCTTAGCAAGAAGGGAGAGGGTGTCGTGTTCCTTAGGAAACCACACGCGCGAAGCGTCTAGGATCTTTTGAAGGCTGGCCGGCACGTTGTTGCGATGGAAGGGAACTCCGACCTCTTGGAATTCACGATGCAGGTGGTGAAAAGCGAGGTCAATTCGGGCGCGCACAATTGTGAGTTCATGGTCGTGAAGCCGACACGGGATCGGTTGTGGAGCAACAAGACGGACATGTGATTCAAGTTGAGCGAGACGAAGAGGAAGAAGATATACAATTTCTTGTTCCTTCAAACGAGGCCGCGGAAGGACACTGACGCCGAGTACGTCCGCCGCAAGGACCACATGTTGACACTGCTCGACAACTACCACTTCGTCTCCCGCATGAACGCGAAGACGTTTCTCGAAAGGCTGCAGTCGCTGTATTTCGTGGAGTCCGAGGAGCAGTTGAAGTTAGCCAGTTACGCTTCCTTGATCTCCACTGATGACGAGAAGGCCACAGGTGTGTAGTTCGTCGCCAACGCAAAGGAGGAGGAGAGCGACACCGAGAGCCTTGACCTGCAGTACGACCCACCTCCGGCGGACCACGCCCGAGGGTCCTCGTCGGCCGGTCCGTCACCAAGCGCTGCAGCCCTCGTGTCACCGACGGCCAAACCGGCGCCAGGCACCACGCCGATGAAGTTGCTGGAGGGACTCAGAGCTCTGGCCATCCCCCCGCCCGATTTGCGTCCCGGGTCCGACATCCCGCCCGATCATCCGTCTTGGATGGATGACCACATCCACTTCTTGCTTGAGCCACAACGTCATTCGCCTGAGGTGGACTGGGGCCATGACATGATTTGGCATCCGGGAGTCATCCAGCCAGCGATAAGGAATGGCGAGTGGGTCATGGCTGTCGCAATCCCGGGCGCGGGATGGGTGTCATTCCCGCGCGAGTCGAAGTCCAACTTCCTGCACCTCGCGAGGATTTCGGTCCTCCAAAAAGTGACGGCCGAAAATGACACATTTGCAGCCGGCGACCCATCCGTCATTTCCGCAGTCGGTCGACTGTTCAACAAGCTTCAGGACAAGTGCTGGTTGGAATTGACGGAGGACTACTACGACCTCGACACGAGCCCGTCGAAGGGCATGGTGGACTGGAAAGTGCCCCCTCCAACTGGGCCGGACGGCAGTTCTAGGGGGGGGTTCAATTGGAGGTGGAGGGGACGGGGGTGGTGGTGCGGGAGGTGGCAAAGGAATCCCGCCTAGTGGGGAAGGACGGTCTCACGGTCGCAACACGACACCGGGAGGCAGCGGCGGGGTGGCGGGTTTCGCCGTCGACCGGCCTCCGTCGACAGGCACCTAGCCGGAGCGTACGACACAGTCCGCTGACCTCCCGACTTCGTCCGTGGGCTCAGCGAGGGAGACGTTGGCAGCCTTGGTTGCTCTCGGCAGCCGCTCCGGCGGAAAGTTGAAGTCCGTCGAGATCCGAACTACGTCGGTTGAGGAGCCGCCAGAGCGGTCCGGACTGCAAAGCCGCTCGGGGTCGGGGGAGCCGAGCCAGGATCCCGAAATTGGCAGCATTGTGGCGCGGGATGGAAAGGTGTCGCCTGAGCGAGAGCGACGGCCGCAAGAATTGCAGCGAGAGGCTGGAAGTGCAGGGTCCGGCGACATGGAGACGACGAAGTCCGCCGAGATGCGAACTTCTTCGGGCGGGGGGTGTCGGCGAGGGATTGTCGTGCCGCCGAGAGGGGCACCATGCACGGAGACGGAAGGGCGGTCATCGGGGTTCAACACGGGTGCCGCGGAAGGGGATGAGTTTCGTGGAAAGGAAGTAGGGGAGGAAATGGAGGAAGGGAAGGAAGCGCAAGAAGGGGAGGAAGAAGGGGAAGAAGAGGAGGAAGGGGAGGAAGCGGGAAAAACGGAGCTACTTTAATTGCTTGAAGGAAAGGACCATGCCGGATCTGGAGAGTCGTCTGACGAGTTCGGACAACTGTACGGAGAGCATCACGAGGATGATGTCAACGACGATGCCACGACAATGGAGATGGAAACACAGGTGGTTAGCAGCCTTTCCGCAGAGCCTGAAGATTATGCGGTCCGACCACTGACGTCTGTTGTCGACTTGCAACACTAGTTCGACGAGGCTTCCGTTGCTGTTAGCCCGTCTAAAACAAGTCGTCGTATAAGCATCGACGAAGTTATCGACGGTATCCTCGGCGACCACCACGTGTCCACCCATCCGTCCACGACGCCTGACGTCGGCGACGCTGGCAACGTCGCATCTTCTATGGCAGCTGCCCTCGCTTCGTCGCCGCCGAAGTCTCCGGTACTGCCGGCCACCCTTGCCGCCGGAGGGGAAGGCGAGGTCAGGGGACAACAACATGTCACGTCCCCGAAAAGATCCAGGGTCGGCAGTCAAGCTCTCGACGTCCTCGCTTTGCCCGCGCCAAATTCCCCGTCGAAGGAGCGGAGAGAGAAACAGACTGGTAAGCTGTGAAGAACGCCACACTGCCTGCTCATCCTGGATTACGAAAACGAGAGAAGGGACTCCATTATAGTTCGGATGTCGGCGGACTACAGTCCGCGCCATACACTCGAGGACTGTCCACACTGTCTGCCGATACGGGAAGTTTCGGATGTCGGCATACTACAGCCACCAGCCCTTCCAAATACATCTCATCGGCTTATCTGTGAGTCAGTCGAGTTGCTGGCCGAGGGCAGCGTAAACTTCGTCGAAAACCTTACACTCCATCTAAGGAAGGATCTGCCCCGACTGAGAAAGTGGCCAAGTAGATGGACTGACGGTTTTCCCTTCTCGGAAATAGTGTCAGTTTTAGTCCGTCGGGATCCGAACTTCCTATGTCAATGCGTAATGTGGTCAGTCTCTGTGGGGCTGGCGTATTGAAAAGTCCGCCGCAGTCCGAACTTCGGGGATTGCTGGTCTTCGGCTTCTGTGAGTTGTGGTGGTTTTCCTTTGTGAAGTGCGGGGGTGTTGAGCTCAAATGTTGCAGTCGTTTTGTTTTCCAGTTGCACACATGCACCTAGGTGCACATGTCCACGCGGAATCAGGGTCCTATGGTCGGAGAGGTCCTGCTTGACTGGTGCGTCTGTGCGATTGTATGGTTCTCACATCGTCACTTCCGTCGCATTCGTGTTGGGAACCGTGCATTCATTTTTCGTTCTGTCTTTCTTCTGTTGTACAGGGATGGGGTCATCTCGAACACGGAGGTCCTCGAAATATCCAGAACACATATTGCGGAAAGTCCCCGGGTTGACTACAAATTACAAGGATTTGTTACAGGCATCAGGGGTTGATGTCGAGATCGGGAAGAAGGAGTACACTGTTGCCATTGAGGAATGTCTATCCCTTCTTGCCCCAGAGAAAGGGACATATCTACGATCTGTGAGTAGGGGTCAGGCCATGTATGAGAAGTACTTAGGAACGCGTCATGCACTGGGGGACAATGCCTAGAACTCCGTTTCTCAGTACCCCACGCGTCCTTTGCTCGATGTTGTGCAGTGCGGGCCACAAGTGCAGCACGCGGGAAAAGGTTCACTACAGCGATTGCGCCTCTCAAGTTGCGGGTTTTGGACGGCATTATACGAGGCTCGGTGCCACCTCACACTGTTCTCTCTGTACTGGCCGATGGTCAATTCCGGATTGCAGCAAAAGATTTCCTCACCCTCTTGCATATCGACGGCAGGGTGAATGATGAGGTGGTCAATTTCTATACGGCGTTGTTGTGGTCGACCGCATGTGGGTCACGTGACATCTCGTCAGGCCTTCAAGTCTTCAGCTTTAATTCGTTCTTCTTCAGTAAACTGCAACTTCAAGGACACGGTGGGGTGCAGAGGTGGGCTAAAAACGTAGATTTGCTTCATTACGATATTATCTTCGTTCCTTTCCACAAAGATGATGATCACTGGATCCTCCTTTCCGTCAACATGAGAGATGACGTTCTCGAAATTTTTTATTCTTTTTCTCGCGCTGTAGCTGATTGAAGTTTTTACATTACTGTTTTCGGGTTGATTGTGCAGTATTTGGAACGTCAAACATCACATAGGCGGTCGGGTAGGAATTGGAAGTCGATAGTGGAAAATGTTGTGGTGGATGGAGTTCCGAGACAAGTGGATGGAGCTAGCTGCGGAATTTTCATGTTGATGTATGCGACATTGTTGCAACGTGGAGATCGACCTCCTTTCCGGTTCTCTTGTAAAGATATTCCGCTTCTTAGACGACAATTAGCATCATGTATCTTAGAACATCGTTGTCTTTGATGAATTTGATTGACTACGATACTTTTTTTTAAGGTGTTCCATTGGTTGTTCATTACATTTTGTAAATCGAGACATTATTTAACTGTCCTCCTGACAACGACATTGCTTTCTTTTATCGTTCGGACAACGACATTGCTTTCTTTTATCGTTCCGAGTTTGAGTTGTCTTCGTCAAGCTCATTGCATGTCCGACATCATGTATAGACTTCGTAATCTTTGTCACGTCGCAATCGTTTCTCATGCAGCGGAAGATGTCATACATTATGTTCCATGTTTCGAATTCTGTTCAACTACGTGGAACATAATGTATGATGTGTTCCATGTTTCAAATTCTGTTCAACTAGAAGTGTACACATGATTGTGAAATTGGTTGGTGGATGCATGAGAAATGTCATCTTATGTATGATAAATCTCATTGTTTTGGATGCATTATAAATTGGTCAGTACATGCATTAATAAATGTAAGGACCAGTTGCTTCATGTCGCTTGCGTGGGGTAGAATCACATGCATTGTGACCACGTGCATTACATGTAACCAACAACCTTGCGTCTGTGCCCAAACCTTCTTCGCATGACCATTTAAAGTGCGGATTTTCATCGTGAATAAGCAAAATTTAAAGTTCTACACTTATCACAACTGTGAACAAGTATGGATCTCAGTGCCCTCATGTAGGGCGAGATGATGAACGTGCCTATATGCGAAAGTCTGGATCTCTTCAACATCCAAAAAAACGTCTAAGGTGAGACGATGACTGTGCTTGCATAACTTACGGATAAATTAGTGAACGAAAATTTAATGTGTTAACCAACGACAGTTCGATCATGACACCCTGCTCATCACATATGTAAGCTTTGAGTTTAACAAGTATGGATCTCAGCACACTTCCGCCCACTGTCAGGGTCACAAGTCTTCTAAACAAGTCCGGATCTCATCATACATCTAAACAACTGTCTTGAGCGAGATGATGAGCCTGCATGTGTAACTTTGGGATAACCGAAAGAATTATACTCTCCAATTCTATCTGATTACATTGCTAATTTTGTTTACAAAGTTCAACAAGTATGGATGTCAGCAAACTTTCGCATTTAGGGCGAGTGGATGGGCATACCTACGTGGAAACACTGCAGTCAAAAATGAATTCGTAAGAAAGAGGACAGTGTTACAATATAACATCTTTCATTACATTTATAAAATTGAAGCTTGACAAGTAAGGATCCGTAAGGATACCAGCACACTTCCGCACAGGGTTCCCTGTTCGGCGTGCCAATCGTTATTCGTTTATGAAGTTTGACTACTATGGATCCCAACACACTTCCCCATAGGATCACCAACACGTTTTTGAAGTTCAACAAGTAAGGATCCCAACACACTTCCGCACAGGATTCCCGGGTGGCGTGCCTAACATGTGTGGGTCTCAACACACTTCCGCATTTGGGATTTCATTTATAAAGTTTTACAAGTACGGATCTCGGCACGCTTCTGCATGTGGTTAAGCCTCGGATGGGCATGCCTACGTTGCTTAGGCTGCAACCAAAAATGAATTTGTTAGAAAGAGGACACAGTATAATGTCATATTTTAACGAATAACATGTTACCTGGCGCTTATTTTGTGCGATTCCACAATGATGGGCGGCTACACTGACGACGAACTACAACGACAATACAATGGCGATGGAGAGATCGCGCAGGAGCGACGGACAGAGATCGCGCAATGATGGAGAGAGATCGCACAATGATGGGCGGCTACACTGTCGGCGGACTACAACGACGATACAATGGCGATGGAGAGATTGTGCAGGAGCGACGAAGAGATTTCTCCCAGTGATGTAGAGAGATTGCGCAACGATAGAGAGAGATCGCACAACGATGGAGAGTGATTACACAACGACGGAGAGAAATCGCGCAACGATAGGGAGAAGTTGCGCAACAATGGAGAAGAGATCGTGCAGGAGCGATGGAGAGAGATGGCGCAACGATGGAGAGAGTCCACGATGGAGAAAGATGGCACAGCGATGGAGATAAATCACGTAGGAGCGATGGAGAGACATGGCGCAACGAGGGAGAGAGATGGCGCGCCGATGGAGATATAAGGAGAGCGATAGCGCACCGATGGAGAGAGATGGCGCAATGATGAGAAAGATGGCGCAGCGATGGAAGGGATAACAATGGCCAGCGCTGCGATGGGAGCAATAGGCAATCGCTGCGATGGAGGATATAGCTATGCACATCGATGGCGATGAGCTAAGCGCATCGATGGCGATGGCGATGGCGAGCACTGTAATGGATGCGATTCCGTTTGCAAGCGCAGCGACGGGAGCCTTGGAGCGATTGCGAACGTTCGATATCCACGCCGTTGACATTTGCAAAATGTCACAATGATTGTGATACCAGAATTTATCGGTTTCTAGTGTTGACCTCACCGCGCAATGAACCACCACGTAATCTTTTCGGGAGCTTTCGGATTTGTGCCTCGGCGTACAACGAACCGTCACGCCAGGCATCGACGCGCAAGGAACCGTTGCGCTGGGATTACCGCGCCTAGCCTCGGGGGGTAACGAAGCTCCACTTTGTACGTCGGATCATGACGATCGACGGTCAAGACTTGAACAGCGAAAATGACGTAGATTGTCCCTTACTTTTTGGAAGTGTCCTATCAATGCACGCCGGAGTTGGCGGAGATTTTAGGGCCTCTAGCATGCCAGTGGCTTCATTAATCTGCGCCGCTGAATTTTGTACATCGACGACCAACAATTTTTGGTACCTCTCACCTTTCGAGGCTCAACCTGTCCTTACCGTTTTATAGGCCCTGACGTCTTATAGGTCCTGGCGTCTTATGGGCCTTAGCGTGCGATATGCGAATAACCGCCGAATCGAAATGCCCTCCCGGCACCCTCTTTGATCCCGACGGGAGACCTGCTGCTGGAGAGTTCCTCTGGGCGAAAAAGAATAAAAGGCGTTGTCGCCCTTGTTTTATCCCTTTTCTTGTTTGGCAGCTCCACAGTTCAAGTCGCACTATCACTATCGCACGCGTTTCGATATCTTGTCTTCACCCACCACCTCCTTCCGCCATAGCCGGTTCGCTCTTCGTAGCTCGATTTCCATTCGCCATAGCTGGTTCGCTCGTCGTACATCCATATCCGTCCGACGTTGGTTGTTCGCGCAACGCACGACGAAGGTGAGATGCTATTTCGGCTGTCCTAATCTGTGTCCGATATCCGAACACATTCACAGATGCCCTGTCTGTACTTGCAGGCTATAACGCCACAGTGCTGCATGTTGAACCCAGAATCAAACCCTAGTTTTGTTGTTTCGCAACTTCACAGGTCAAGTCGCGCTATCGCAAGCACGCACATTCCGATATTTGTTCTTCACCCTCCACCTCCGTCCGGCATAGTCGATTCGCTTTTCGTAGCTCGATTTCCTTTTGCCATAGTTGAGCCTGCACGGCGTGCGCACGCTATAAAACTGCCATAATATTGTTTGTGTGTATATATATATATATATGAAACTCCGACGAAACAGTTTGTCACAGCCCCTCGTTTGTTGTCCTCTTCTCTCTCTCTGCCTACGGTTTACCGGGCAGTTCTGTTTGTGACGATATATATATATATATATATATATATATATATATATGTTGAACCTCGAATCAATACCCGGTTTTTGTTGAACCCCGAATCAATTCCCGGTTTTCGTTCACTTGTCCCTTGTTGTACTCGTCTGTGCCACTTCTAGAAGGCCGGATTAATTTGCAGTTTTTGTCCATCTATCTAGTGAGGTCGGAACTGATCCACAACTGCGAGTTAGTTCGCAGTCTGCGACATATATTATTGGAAGAGTTACAACTGCGTGTTAGTTCGCACTTTGCGGCCTACACTGTTGTACACGTTGTCGCCCTTCGTATCCAGAACTCCGAGTTAGTTCGCACTTTGTCGACAACAAGTGGTACATGTTTTAGGTCTTCATTTCCACAACTCCGAGTTAGTTCGCACTTTCCCCAAGATAAGACGCCTCTTTCTTGAAAGTGAGTTTTTTATTTCCACAACTCCGAGTTAATTCGCACTTTCCCCAAGATAAGCCGCCTCTTTCCTCATTTCCAGAACTACGAGTTGGTTCACACTCTGTCCGAGGAGTTGTTATCTTTCCTCCCAACTCACTCTACCAGAGGAGTATTGTCTTTCCTCCCCCTGACCCAATTGTTGTGACTTCGTGTGCATTTCAAAAACCCATCTGGTACGTCGTTTTGGTCCTTCATTTCCACAACTCCGAGTTAGTTCGCACTTTGCTTCTGTACTCTTAGCAAAACCTCGTGGCTTTCCTCCCGGTCATCCGATTTAGTCTAGGGTTGGGCGTAAAATGGCGTCCGCAAAAAATACATCGACAAGCGTTGGGGCGTCTGCCCCCGAGGAGGGACGAAGTCTTCCGCGATCTCCTCATCAATATTTTCATTCGAAGGATGCACAATGGTTTTTGGACTTCATTGTTGACGGGAACCTTGTTGGGCCAACTGTTTTCATGCGGCCCGCTGCATTTCCGGACGCTAAGGGAGCAGCCGACGTTCATCCTGTTGGTACCATCCTTTCGTCCCAGAAACAGTCTGGAGGCTTGCTCAAGTTGCAGACTAACATTTTCTACGACATGTGCAGGCTACCTTACAAAGAGGTCAAGGGTGTGATGGTTTCGATCAAGAATTTCGCGGGGTACGACTTGAACATGCTTCGCTGCCGTCACGTCAAAGGGCTTTACGATATCAAAAGCATGCCTCTTCCACCTCCACTGGAATATCTCGATCTTGCGCTGAAGGTGCCAAAAGAGTGTTCGATTCTTCCGCGAGATTATGTTTTCAGGCTTCTACCAGCCCCTGAGGGGTCGTCCGACTTAGCTCAAGAAACCCCTCTGACGAAAGTGGGGCACGAGAGTATCATTCACGACACTGAGGGTCAGGGTGTGGGGCACGCGGGCAGGAGTCAACTGCAGATCGACCCGAGTCCTTCTAGGTGCGCGTCTGGCGATCCTGTGTCATCCTTGACTTCTCCAGATGCAGGGACTCATCGGGTTGCCACACCGAAAATCCTCAAGTTACACTGCCAGGGTGACACGTATTCGCTTCGGGATGAGGCGAGAAGAGAATCCGGCAGTTCAGGACAAGAGGTTGGAGGGAATGAGGTTGAAGGGATGGGCACTGTGCGAGGCAGCTCTAACGGGGAGCCCACTTCTTCTGAAAAGAAGCGCGAGCGACAGAAGACGTTACGAGACGAGGTAGCAGAACAAACCAGATACATGAAGAGGATGAAAGGATCCTCAAAGCCGATAATTGGCGAGGATGAAGGTGACGTCAGGGAACGTGCCTTGGGAAAAAGGACGCCAAGGATGCATGGCAAACAAGAAGAAGTCAAAAAGAGGTAGTCCAAGCAAGAAGCTGCAACAACAAGTAAGAAAGCGAAGAGGGTCGGCGGTTTGACCATCGGCGAAGGGCAAGCTAGAGGTGGAGGAGATTCGGCTCGTCAAGGCATTGCCGCCGCGGGAGAACCTTCCCAGCAATCTAAAAGAAAACTGGCAGCTGAAGAAGGCAATCGCCAGAAGAAAACTCGGAGGAGGAAGACTAGTGATGGGACGAGTGGTGGCGAAAGGACGGTTGGTAGGCAATACGACGAAGCGGCGGCATTTTGGCTCGAATACGAGGGAAACGATGACGGTGAGATTGTGGAGAAGGAGCACCCAATTCAATTGGTCATCGACCCCAGGAAGGTCTGTGATATCCCGCCGTGGGAAAGATATTATAATCACCACAGTCTCACTCGGGATGGTGTGAAGGACATCAAGAATGCAATGCTAAGGCAGTTCCATGAGGAGAAGGCAAAGATATGGAAGAAAAACGCTTTGGTTCTGGCTCCCATATACAAGCCGGTGACGCAGAAGCCGGAGAGAGCTCGGGGGGTTCACAAGGATGTCTTCAAGCCAGAGGACAAGGACAAATACTTCTATTACCCCGTGAATGGACAACACACTGTGGCTGTTGTGAAGGAATTGGATGGTGAACCAATATTCAAAGTGTGGAAAATGCACTCGTGGCCAGCGAGAGTCGTGTGGCTCTTCGATGAAGACTTTGGGGGGTATTTGCAGGTCAGTCTAGCGGAGAACACAAGACACACGATGTCTTTGCAGCGTTCGCAGAAGACCACTTTCGAGGACATGCGGGAGGCATGGGAGAAGCAGGGAAGGTCGGTGGTTATTCAAGGAAACCCCTCCGGTAAGGAGGCCAAAAAACAAGCGTTTTTTTGAGTTCCAGAAACTGCTTTTGGGAAAAAGTCCCAATGACGCTCATTGGAGGATGGCACGTAAAGCGACAACGCTCGCCGACAAGGACAAAGTTGAGGCAATTTGCAATGCATTGAGGCAATGGATGCCGCTTGTGATAGCCAGTGATGAGGTTTTCCGAAAAGGGATGGAGTTTTACGATAAGTGGGCCGAGGAAAAATTGTTGGGCGGAGACGGGAAGATGCCGTTGTCGAAGTCTGGCAAATACATGCCAGACAAATCTTCGGGGCTTCAAGCGATTCCGGAAATGGGCGTGAAAGAGGCAGCTGGTGAGACAAAGATGGGGTGGCTAGTCCGGGTCCCTCGGCCTCAAACCAAAAAGAAAACGCAATTGGACGACAAGTTTTTCGTCGTCGTGAAGGAGCCGGACATATTCTGTTGGCAATCTCTCGCGGACATGACCGATGACGAAAAATTGTCGATCCTCGAGAACATTCTCTCGCTTAATGGAGTGTTCGTGCAATCGGCGAACGAGTATCTCAAACGACAACATAAGTCAGGAATTAAAGAGATGGTCGCGACGAGGAAAGTGGATCGAATGATGCTCCGGATGTTCCACTACGTTTTGTTCCTTGAATTTGAGGAGGACGCAGAGATTTGGCGCTATGGAAGCCAGTTTTTTCGGACCGAAGAGCAACTTATGGCGGAGTTCGCGCCACAGAGCCTCACAAAGCAGGTGTGGGTCGAACTGAGGAAGCATTTCCACGGCGCGATGGACTACATGAACACTTGTGAACGTTGCCTTTCGTACGAGAAAAAGTCCCTCGACGAAACGAAGAGACTATACGATGATGACATGTTTCCTACATCCTTCGAGAAGTCCGTCCGCTCCATCTTGCGACGAACAGAGGAAAAAGTGCGAGACACGATCAGGGTCAGAGGGGATGTGAGGCACATCAAATGGCAGAAGCTCAACCGCTTTACCAACTTTATTCATTTCGGTTGTCCGCCTTCCCAAACTCACATTCGTCTCACTGAGATCCGCAATATTGTGTGACATTACATATGCAACTTGTACGTCCTCGATTTGTGTGATCCCACACTGCTGTCAGATTGGCAAGAAAGCGATTTTCGCCTCCTTGCAAGGTGTTCTCGAAACCCTATCGCCGCGATATTGTGTGACACTACGTATGCAACTTGTACGTCCTCGATTTGTATGATCCCACACTCTTGTCAGATTGGCAAGAAAGTGATTTTGCCTCCTTGCAAGGCGTTCTCCAAACCTTGTCGTCAAGGCACTGGACGCTTGTAGTCTTTTTCCCATCACGTTGGGAGCTCAGTTTCTTGAAAGGCATGACCAAGCTTAGCTTCCATCACGTGAGGACAGGGAAGTGGGTGCGCCATGCACAAAGGTAGGCCATAGTCCGGGAAGGCGATATGCTGGTTAAGGAATATGATCGCCTGTACGTCGTTTTCAATGGCGAGAACTTGGGCGACAACACGGTCGCATTGTTCTTTTCTCGTAGTCTATCGAAGCGTCCCCGTGCGAATGCTCCAAGTCCGCCCAAACCCGAGGGGGCGGCCCGCTGGAAAGTTGCCTGTTCTTCCGACCCTTTGGGACAGGTTGTGGCCTGTTTCGACGTGGCAGACGAGGACAGGTTCCCTCGCCGCAAATGGGAGGATGACGGTGTGGCAAGTGTTCGAGGAGCTGCTTACGGGGACAGGGAACGGAACCCAACTCATCTAATTGGTCTACTCGAAAACTTTTGTAGAGTTGGGCAAACTGTTTTCCTTTTCGGGAAGGCGCATGCATCTGTTGTGTGGGAGCTCCTGTATAGCGGTCGGAACGTTGTTGCGTTAGAGGACGAGGCGAAGATGATCGATTACCTTCACGAGTTCATGACGACACGTGTGGGGGACCCTTGCAACCATTGCTCTTTTGTCGAGACCACCGGCGAACGGAACAGGGATACCAAACGTGATATGTATTGAAAATTGTCGGAGAAGAAAAGGATGGAGGTTTGGGAGTTCCTTTTCCAACGAGGACCGCGTGCTCAGACCGACCTGGAATGCAATCGACGGAGAAACCTGGTGTTCGGTGTGCTGAATGCTTACCACGGTGCAATCAGGGAGTCTGTCTCAAATTTTCTGAAAAGGTTGGAGCATGTTTTCTTCTTGATGGCAGAACCACTAACCCTCAAGAACTACAAGGCGCAGTTTGATGAGGACGACCCTTTCGAAACTGAAGACATGGAGGAGGTGAGCAACTCCGAAACCTTCGATTTCGAGTCCATGCCACGTCCTTGGGTGGTGACACAGGTTGATGATGAAGGGGAAGGTGGTTCTCGGAGATATAGCACATCCCCTACCGGTTTGAAGCGTGTATTTGAGCGCGAAACAATCGAGGACCAATCGTCTGATGACAAGGAAGAAGAGAGAGACTATGAATACGCACATGTTGACAAGCTCCCTAAGGACCATGATACCTGAGAGAATGATAGGCTCTTCTTCTACGGGAAGCACCACCGGTTCACAACAGAGGATGTCCGGGGCCACAACGTCGTCTGGCACCCCAGGAAATTCCAACCTGCTGTAAAGAATGGAAAGTGGGTCATGGCAATAAAGGAAATTGACGGCAAGTGGAGTGCCCTGAACAGACTGGGAGCGGGTCCATTTAAGAAAAAGACCAGACAAACTCTAGTGGAGCATTTGAGTGTAGTAAACCCCGAAAGGAGCCCACAGGACGTCAATGCGTATGCAGGCCAAAAGCTCGACGAGCTCTACTACAAAAAAATGTGGGAATTTTGAGGGCCTTTCTACACACTCGAAACGACACCGTCTTGTTGCATCGATTGGCACATTCCTCAACCTCCGGCCAGTGGTCAGCATCCGGGAGGTGGTGGAGGAGGTGACGGAGGAGATGGCTCAGGATCTGGCGGAGGAGGTGACGGAGGAGACGACTCAGGATCTGGTGCTGACAAAGCAGAGGGGAAGGGGTCGGGCAGAAAGGGTTCTGGAGAAAAGCGATTTGTCGGAAAGTGGTAAGGGGAAACGTCCTCGGAATCAAAGGGCTCCGGCGGAAAAGGGTCCGGTGGAAAAGGGCCTGGCGGAAAAGGGTCCGGCGGAAAAGGGTCGGGTGGAAAAGGGTCGGGTGGAAAAGGGTCGGGCGGAAAGGGGTCGGGCGGAAAGCGTAGAGTGTTCAGGAGTCACGAGTCTACGGGAACTGAAAGCCACTGCGAAGGGAGTCGAGATTCTGACATGCGAGACGAGGCCTCCCTGAGGTCTTATCAAGTGCGAGTAGATTTGCACTTGTCTGCGAGGACTTTATTTTGCGATGTCGAGGAGAGTCTGTGCCACAGTATGCAGTCGGCGTATCCTTTGGACGACACCTTGCTCCTGCACCACTTGGAAGAAGGCGAACGTCAGCAGCATACGGAAGCATCTCCTGAGCGACAAAACCATTCCTTACAGGGAACCACGTCTTCGTTTTGCCTGGACGCCGGGATGCCTGCATTGCAAAGGAGCGAAGGTGCTAGCGCCAGTTCCCTCAGCTCTAGCGAGCGCCACAACGGGGCGAAGAAAATGTGAGGTCCAACACCCCCCATCTTCAGTTGGGCATAATGTTCCCCTGGTCACCGCCGTTCTGTAATGTAGAGACTCAAGACCGGTCGTCTCGCAAAATGCTGGAGGGGCCCGCTGCAGGAGCGTTGGAGACTGGGGCTAGCGAGTATGAATGTCATGCTTCGTAGGGTGCGTCCATCGATTTTGAGAGCAAGAGTACAGCAGCTCCGGGGCAAGAGGAACTCTCACAGGAAACACATATTGTTGTGCAGCGGGAAGAGGAGACTTAACACATGCCGCCTTGCAAAGTGCTGGAGGGGCTCGACGCAGGAGTGTTGGAGACCGGGGCTAGCAAGCATCAACGTCGCTTCGGGGGCTGCGTCCGTCGACTTTGAGAGCAAGAGTACAGCAGCTCCGGGGGTAGATGAGCTCTCACAGGAAGCGTATGCTGTGCAGCGGGAAGAGGAGAATCAACATTGGCAGCCTCGCAAAGTGTTGGAGGGGCTCGATGCAGGAGTGTTGGAGGCCGGGGCTAGCGAGCATCACTATTATGCTTCGGAGGGTGCGTCCGTCGATTTTGAGAGCAAGAGTACAACAGCTCCGGGGGAAGAGGAGCTTTCACAGGAAGCGCATGTTGTGCAGCGGGATGAGGAGCTTCTCCAGAACTCATCGGGAAATACCATCAACATCGGGGACACCGAATTCTGCACAGAGGGTCGCCACTAACGATGCAAGAGGGTGATGTTAAGGGAGGTCAGTGGACGTTTGTGGAAGGCAAAGACCGTGGGGAGGAAGCATGTGCGTGGACGTTTGTGGAAGCTCCACTTCTTGGAGAAGAGGAAGGCGAAGAAGAATCCGTGGTGGAAGCTCGGCTGCATGGCGATGAGGAAGGCGAAGAACCCGTGGTGGAAGCTCGACTTTTTGGCTGTGGGGTGTCGGTCGACGTCCAGATGGATCCAGAGCGAAAAGATCATGATTCTCCGTCCACCCGTTGGGGTGAAAAACAAAGTGATCGAGCGTCTGTCCTCAGTACAGGTCGGGAAATGGTACTTCATGAAGCCATCGAGTTGGTTAGCGTCTTAGCTGCCATCGAGCTGGTTAGCGACTCAGTCGTGGCCGAGGTGCAGAACATCGAATCCTCCGTGGACGTTGGCACAGTGGCGCGACTGGAGGCCAATTTCCCTCGACGGACTCCCGAGCATGGTAAGATTTGTGAATAGTAGCACTTGCATATCTGTCACTGTTCAACTTTGTGGTCATCCAGATTGATATGATGGGCTCTTGTAGCTATTACCACTTGTTAAAAAAACGTTTGTGGTTGTGGGTTGTTTTCTATGTTTTTTTACAGGTGTGAGGTTGTCAATGTCCCTGCCCATGAAGCCTTTAAGAGCCACGCGTGGGAAATCTTTATTTCAGCAACGGCCACGAGGTGGTTTCCTCGATCCGCAAAGGGACCAGTTGTATTATGTTAAGCACAAAAAATCTTCAGACTCTTGTCCAGGGGGGATGACTTTGCGACAAGGTGGTGGAGTTCTACTTGGCCTTGGTTGGCAACGCTACTTTGTCGAGGTGTCCCTCTATTTATACTTTCAGTCCGTTTTTCTATACCAAGCTCGTCTATGAGGGATGTCGATATGATAGGGTTGCGAGATGGACAAAAGATGTGAATATTTTTTTGTACGACATGCTAATCATTCCTGTTCATAAAAATCGAATGCACTGGACCCTATTATGCGTCCACGAAGGACGGTTGGAGTACTACGGCTCCGTCCTATAAGACGATGGCGGTTTTTCTTTCCATGTATTTGGCAATTTCATGAAATACCTCTCTAACGAAGCTATTCGTCAACTTGGTCAACACAGGAAACTACTTCTCCCGGACCTCAAGGTGGTTATTCATGGTGTCCCTCAACAGTCGAACGGGTCGAGCTGCGGCGTTTTCATGCTCGCCTTCGCTTCTTTTCTGGCACGCCATCATCCGCCACTATTTTCGATAACCCAAACCGACATTCCAAACATCAGGCTGAGGATTGCGGTGGACATACTCCACGGCTCAGAATAACACCCCTATTTTGAAAACACGCTAAGTTTTTTATTCGCAAGGTCATAAACAGAAGTGCGAATCTATTCCCACTTAGTCTAGCAGTCGGCCGACTCGAGTTGTGGTATTGTTTTGATGAGGTAGAGGATTGAAGTGGACACTTTGATCAAGTGCATGCTTACATGACGATGTGAATATCCCAGCCTCGTGCTGCAGTATTTTTTAAGGGTTTTTCATTTCGAGGAACTTGGCAGCTTTACTCGTAGGGCTTTCTTTAACTTTCTTGTTTTTTTAGTTTTTCCGATGTAAATGCCGCAGCCTCATGCAACCTATTTTTTAGGACCCCGGCAGCGTCGTGCTGCCTTCGTTTGTTTTCAGGTTATTCTCTTTCCTTGCCACCCAACACCAGCGAGAGGGTTGAAGTGGACGCTTAGGTCAAGTAGACGCTTAGATATCGATGTGAATATCCCAGCCTCATGGTGCAGTATCTCTTAAGTAGACCCTTAGATGTCGATGTGAATATCCCAGCCTCAAGCTGCCTTTGTTTGTTTTCGGGTTATTCTCCTTATGTCCTCTACGCCCGCGGCAGCGTCGTGCTGCCCTTATTCGTTTTCAGGTTGTACTCCTGTGTTACTCATGGGACAGTCTTTGTCCTCTTTTAGACATTCTTTACACTCGTGCTCATTGGACTCGATACTCGGGCTCATTTAGCAAGATGTTGGTGAAAAATATCAATGATTTCTTCTCGGTCGCTAAATTGTTTCGTGCATACCTCTTTCTTTCGCGCGACTTTATGGTCTGAAAGCCCMCCCCCCCCCCGCCCAATTTTCATATATTTTGGCTCGCCCCTTTTCTGTGCGTACCGCCTCATTTTTCGGTTCAACCCCTCTGCAGTACCCTCCTCCCCGCAACCACCTTCCTTCCGCCTGTCGCGTCTTCAGCAGCCGAGGCCAATTCTTCGTGTGTCGTGAACGCTTTTGTCTCCACTGAATGCTGAATGTTGCTTCCATATGACAATTGCGAACTTATTCGCAATTCGAAAACCAATTATCGCCAGAATGTATGTGTGTTTGACGTGATTTTATGGACTCCAAAAAATTTAGTGGTACAGTAAATGATCACCAATTTTGTTATCACCAGAATACATGTTGTAGTCTCCACTGAATGCTGACTGTTGTTTCCGTATAACAAATGCGAACATATTCGCAATTTGGAAGCCATATATTTGTGATTAGACCGTTCATATCTACAAATTTGCCAAATGGTTACCTTTTGTGTTGTCACCAGAAATTTGTTCATATATGCAAGTTCGCCAAAATGATCAGCAATTGTGTTATCGCCAAAATGTATGTGTGCTTGACCCCTGTGCTTCGACGTTGTTTGTCGCTCAAGGATCGATATGCGGTGTTCGCCAAAATGGATGATTGGCCAAAATTGTTATCTTCTGTCTTGTCACCAGGAGACTGATCATTTATTCAAGTTCACAAAAAATGATATTTTGCCGAAATGATTACCTTTTGTCTTATCGAAAAAGATGGATAAATCGCAAAAACGTTTGTCCTTTGTGTCATGTCTTGCCTATAATGAAATTGGCTCCTCCAGCTTGGCAAGGTCGGCATGTCACAAGTATTTCCTCCATATTTTTGATATTTTTTTTGGAAGGATCACGAGCAAATCTACGAAGCTTCAAATTTTTGGAATTTTCTATGAATTTTTCTAAGTGTGAAAAATCGCCAAAGTTGCCACTGTCAAATTGTGAGACTAGGCCCGCCGTTTCGGCCTCCGATGGCCGCCCTCCCTAAGAACCCGCCGGAACTCACAGTGGGGGCTATTTCCTGCTGTCGGAGGGAGTAATGGTTTAAAGCGTCTCCTCACCTTTTCCGACGACTCATTGTGCGAAAGCATATACGAATTAATTCATAGTTTAAGATTCTCTCCTCTACCTTTGCTCAAAGGAATTTGTAACTCGCTTCGAACATATCCTCACCTCTTACGACTACCGCTTCTAAATTCAGAAGCAACCTTTGTCGCACCTTTATAATAATGGTGGCGTGATCTTGACATCCATTATCGGACCACCAAAGCATCAGTCGACGTTGTCGTTTTTAAACTTTTGCAATTCCCGGTGCCTATTCCTTTTCGCTAAAAGGGGTCGACAACGGGTCTGCCATGGGTCAGCGAGCGCGAAATCCAATTGCAATCTCATATAATGTGGACATGACCGTTAACAACGAATAATAACCATTGGCGCCCATACCGTGAGTTTTCACTCGCCTTTATGTTACGTCGGATGCCAGACCTTTAAAATGTGTGATGCCTTACCCCTGCACTTTGATTTTATTCCATGCTCAACTGTCGTATTGACGGATAAAGATGCACCAAAATTGCAATGATTCACATCTGCGAGAGTGGGATGTGTACGATGCATCACAATTGTCAGGCTCGGTGTGGGCAAGGTCCTTATATATGAAATATTTCTGACTTTGAAATTGAGTCCTCCACCTTTACTGGCAGATATTGCCATCCCGCTTACAGCGCCTCGTGAGCTCTTCCAATGACTCAGTGTGTAGCTTTTTTATCCCGCTTACAACGCCTCCTCACCTCTTTCAACGACTAAGTGTGCGAAAGCATTTGGGAATCAATTTGTAATTTATGCCTTCACCGTTTTGAGCTCGTTTATTACCTCTAAGTTTCCATAGAGGAGAAAAGGTTACGTTTTCTCCAGCTCCAGGATGTGATGTTCCCTCCTCTACCTTTGCTCGCAGGAATTAATGACCATCTTAGAGCGTGTGCAAAAGAATTTGCGAATTAATTCGTAGTTTAAGATTCACTCCATATTCAAAGGGTTGGGATGCCGAGGCTTGGATTGGAGGAAGACAAAACCAAGTGCTCATTTTGTATTGTTCAGATGCCGCTCACCTCGAAATTAGCCAAAAGGGCAGAATATGATTTCAAGGGGGTTAGGGTGCTGGGGTAGGGGGTGGTGGAGCGGAGCGTCAGCAGGTGTCATAGGCCCTGTTATACGTTGCAGGTTGATGGGAACACTCGAACAAACTTGGAGTTTATTCTGAGTTGCAGAGCGGCCGCTCCAAAAGGCTACCTCGAAAATAGCCAACAAGGAAGAAATTCGATGTCACAATAATTTTAAGGGGGTTGGTCACCTCACCTTTGGTGTGCTGAGCTGAGGCAGAGGGTCAGTAGGTGTTATAGGCCCTGGAACTGGTCCACGCACCTCGAAAATAGCCAAAAGGGGTGAATGTGACTTCCAGGGAGTTAGGGTGTGCGGGGTTAGGGTGCTGGGGTAGGGGGTGGTGCAGGGGACGGTCAGCAGGTGTCATCGGCCCTGTTACAAGTTGCAGGTTGATGGGAACACTCGAACAAACCTGGAGTTTATTATGAGTTGCAGAGCGGCCGCTCCAAAAGGCTACCTTGAAAATACCCAACAAGGGAGAAATTCGATGTCACAATGATTTTAAGGGGGTTGGTCACCGTTGGTGCGCTGGGGTGAGGCGGAGGGTCAGTGTGTGTGATAGGCCCTGGAACTGGTCTACGCACCTCGAAAATAGCCAAAAGGGGAGAATGTGACTTCCAGGGGGTTAGGGTGTGGTCCACTCACCTTAAAAATGGCCAAAAGGGGAGAATGTGACTTCTAAGGGGTTAGGGTGCTGGGGTAGGGGGTGGTGGAGGGGAGGGTCAGCAAATGTCATAGGCCCTGTTACAAGTTGCATGGGAGCACTCGAACAAACCTGGAGTTTATTCTGAGTTGCAAAGCGGCCGCTCCAAAAAGCTACCTCGAAAATAGCCAACAAGGGACAAATTCGATGTCAAAGTGATTTTAAGGCGGTTGATCACCGTTGCTGTGCTGGGGTAAGGCGGAGGGTCAGTAGGTGTCATAGGCCCTGAAACTGGTCCACGCACCTCGAAAATAGCCGAAAGGGGAGAATGTGACTTCCAGGGGGTTAGGGTGTGGTCCACTCACCTCAAAAATAGCCAAAAGGGGAAAATGTGACTTCCAGGGGTTTAGGGTGCTGGGGCAGGGGGTGGTGGAGGGGAGGGTCAGCAGGTGTCATAGGCCCTGTTACACGTTGCAGGTTGATGGGAACACTTGAACAAACCTGGAGTTTATTCTTAGTTGCAGAGCGGCCGCTACAAAAGGCTACCTCGAAAATAGCCAACAAGGGAGAAATTCGATGTCACAGTGATTTTAAGGGGGTTGGTCACTGTTGTTGTGCTGGGGTGAGGCGGAAGGTCACTAGGTGTTATAGGCCCTGAAACTGGTCCATGCACCTTGAAGATAGCCAAAAGGGGACAATGTGACTTCCAGGGGGTTAGGGTGTGGTCCACTCAC